ATATATATATATATATATATATATATATATATATATATATATATATACATATCACGAAGTTAAATTCAAAAAAGAAAATTATTAAATTATAGTTATAATTATAATTAAGTTATAATTAAGTTATAATTAAGTTTAAAATACCAACCGAATATTATTTATTATATTTTATTCTTTTTACAATTAATAGTTTAAACAAATTTACAAATTTTTAAATTATTATATACATTAAATAAATTCTGAAATTATTATCCTACTTATTCGAATTTTTTAGTATCCCTATCTACCCGTATTATTTTTAATTAATGTTTTTTATTAATTTTTCATAATTACATTTAAATATAATTTAATAATATAATTATATAAAAAAATATAATAATAAATATAATTCTATGATGAATTTATTTAAATAAAATTAAATAATTATTTTTTGTCTTTTCTTTTCGGTAATTATAATTTTAAATTATTTAAATTTAATGATTCAAATAAATAAAAAAACAATTTAATATTGACAAGAAATATATATTTACCACAAGGTTGCTTCGCCGATACCTCTCTTAGGTTTCCTCCTCCTCTCAGGATGTTAGGTCTCCTCACAGCACAGGACACTCGCGAAAAACACTCGCGAATTATTATAATCGCGCGCGATACTTGACGATACTCCACGTTTAGCTGCGCGTGAAAATATCAAGTTTCGTCGGTCTAGTCAGCACCCGAGTTGGTGAGCTTTTCGAAATATATGGTAACTCTTCAAGTAAAGGTTAGGACCGAAGCGAAAGAAGAATCGACTGAATCTCTTGTTTCTTAGAAATTACGTCTAAAATTGGCTCAACCATTGCATTGGCTCAGCCAACGGTTCAGATCGAATCACAAAGGCGGATACCATACACATGATATCAAATGTCACCCGGGCTATCGAGAAGGCTGGTAGAGAGAGAAGGTACCCACCTGCCTAACAATCTAGATAAAATTATAACAATCGGACAACTTGGAGTCTCGGCACACGCAATAACCGCCCGAACTAAGACTCTGATCGAGTCAGATTATACGCGATTTGTTGTTAAGATATTAAGGAAGGGAAAATAAAGGTCGTTGGCGATTAAATAATCGCACGCGCCACATGGGAGCCCTTTCACGACTCGTGGCAATGCTGTGTCAAAAATATAAAAAATCAAGAGAAGTGACGAAAATAAGTCAGATTGAAATCTTGCCGATTGGGACCGAATCACTTGTCGAAGACAGAGCGTGTTCTCAATCAGCCGTTTAATGCAGGTTGCAATTGTGCGAAACACAAGGTTTTTTTCCATTTAGTGACACAAGTCGACACAAGTATCATTTTGTCCTTGTTAATTATTGAAAGCCAAGAAAGATAGAACGATAGTGTCACTAAATGGAAAGCACCCATACACATGCAAGTGGTAGCGAGTGCGTGTAACATTCACAGCCGACATCACCAGTGCCGTGACGCACGTGGCGTGAAGACGTAGCCGACTACGCCTCAATGAGATCTCATGCTCCCTGCACCCCTTGACAGCGCGACTCGACCGGCTCGAACTATGATATTTTTCAAACGAGCCCTCGCAGGGCGAGGAAAAATCTCTTAGTTCGATCGCTCGTACGCACTCCCGAAGCAAACGCGCGAACTGGCTGCAGTTCGTTCATTCACAATTAAATCGACGGCGACGGAATGTCGGTTAAAAACCGACGATTAAGTTGCGTTAATTAAGTTTGCCACATAAGAGCCATTTCACGACTCGTGGCTATGCTGTTTTGGTATATTATTAATAATATTACTTAACGTTAATATTAATGTTACTGATAACAGTGCAACGGGTACTGATTAGCTTCTTCGTCTTTGGGATACATACCCAAGTAGCACAAGTTAATCGGCAAACCATTTCGCCGATTAATAGTACTGCTTGAATAATCCCTCGGAATACTGAGGCCTCCTCTGCCACGTCAAGGCCGTACCCATTAGAGGTGTATTATCTAACAAAAAGTTATGAATTTCAATGGAATAAGTCGCGAAATATATGTATAATCTTGTTATAGAGTCTCATTTCGGTACGCTTACGAATCGCTTACGAATCATATCAGTTAATAAGCATTTATTATTACACAAGATAGTCACAAGATATTTCGTAAGATATAACAACGTTTAGAAATGCGGGGCGACGCAACTTGTCCATACGAACGCCGGTGAATGAATGGTAGCACGTCAACCACTTATAAACACGACTCGCCGTACGTACACAATGGAGCGCGCTACGCGCCACGTTAACATTTCTCAAGTCTGCCCCATTCCCCATCAGTGACTACGACGAAATATTTCACAATATTAAATAATAACTTACACGATTATCGACGATTATCGATATTTTAGTAACCAAACATTAATAAAATAACTGTGTATATATATATATTTCATTAGAGAGTATCGTTTCGATATGCTTGTTAATCATTAATCTGGCAGTTTATTCTCTCATTTAAATCAGCGATGGAATGTTGATTAAAAATCGACGACAATTGCATATATTATTAATATATTATTAATAACATTAATATCATCCAACGGTAATATTAATGTTATTAATAATATATTAATAACACACGCGATAGTCATCGATTCACAAGCATATCGCGAAATAATACTTTCTAATGAAATATCTATTTACATTACTTAATGTTCTATTATTAAAGACTATAGTATTTCGTGTAAGTTAGGTATTATTTGTAATATATTGTTGAATTATTAATAATGGTGCAATGGTACTGTTGGCTTCTTCGTCTTTGGGATACGAAATCCCTCGGAACACTCAGCCCCTCCGCCACGTCAAGGCCGTACCCATCGGAGGGGTTATCATTTACAAAAAGTCATAAATTTCAAAGAAATTATAAATCGCGCGATATACGCCTATACTTATTAAAAAGATATTGTTTCGATGCGTTTATGAATAGTTAATCAATTGTTGATAAGCATTTATTATTATATTCATATGATACGTTTGGTATCATTTAACAATAAAAGAATATGAGGGAATGCGAAGTGATACGCGCCGCTACCTGTTCGTACGGATAAAAAATGATAACACGTGGAAACGCTCGTAACACACGCGCGGTGCGCGCCGTACGTATCACGACATGTAAACAGTTTGAAGGCCGCGATATCTACAACGTGTGTGTGTGTGTGTGTGTCAAACGAAATATTCAACAATATTACGAATAATATCTAACTAATACAAGGCTCTACAAGCCTTTTGATAACTCAACATTAAATGCTGTAATCGTTACGTTTTAAGTGTCCACGATTTTGTAAGACAAGAACGGATAGAGATTGATCGACCCTCTTTATCTAACTAATTGTTACTCCTGCATATATGTAGCACGGAACAAAACCACAAAATCGTGAACATAGCACGAATGTGAACCACGCAATCGTGGACATTACCTACAGGATCGTGGACATTGATTACGTAGTTCAATGTCCACGTTTGTATGCACATAGAAACGCTTTAAAATAAAATTACAGCTAAATCGCAGGCATGTCCGTTCTCAAGCTATCATAAACAGATGTAAAATATAGTTCCAAGTATGATGTAAAAAAAAAGGTGCACGATTGCGCATAGCAATGGCGGCACGATGAGCGGAGCCAATATAGGCTACGTACCGATATTCACTGCCAGTATTGAAAATCTATAATATACGTGATCTAAATTATATATTTTCAGTACTGGCAAGGAATATCGGAACGCAGTCGAAATTTGGATCAAAATACATCCGCGCTATTCGAACACAAAACAATCATATATGGTTATATGTACTTAAAATGCAGATATTTAAAAAAAATAGCATAAAAATACTTGAATAATATAAATGTAGTACAAAAATTTTTTTGTAAAGAGAGAAATAATACCTTATGTGAATTTCTAAATAATATTTATAATTATATAAATAATATAATTTTTATTTGCAATAATGTGTGTGTGTGGGGGGGGGTGCACTAATTGAAAAAACTTCGGAATTTCGCGCTGCAGCCATATTGCTTTTCAGCATTTTGACCCAATTCTTATTGGTCGAGACTGCGCATACGTGATGTTATTACACCTTTCTTTTTACATAGTTCTAAGCTCATTTACATTAAATAGACGTTGGTGGCGGTAGTATACAGCAATTTCAATGTGTCAATGAAAAAAGCCGGGATTGCCGGTCTCAGGCTTCTTTCCGATATTAATATTGATAATACATAATACGTCTAAAACATTATGTAATGTTGTTAAAAGGAGACAGACGTATATTTGCATATCATTAATAATGTTTCATTTCGAGGGCGGACTGCAATTGTTATCGAGATTCAGCGAGAGACCACGTTCAATTAACCTCGATAATGTTCTATTCTCGACTGATATTGACAATGAAAGTATCATAGAAATTGTTGGTGCTTCGTCCACTGGAAAGACTCTGTTACTGTGCCAATTTATAGCGAGGTGTATATTGCCCGCGCGGTATAAAGATATCGAAATTAGCGGATGCAATGTCCACGTAGTACTGATTGATACATATGGTCATGTAGAGATGAGCAAGATAGCTGAACTCATGACTCCCGTGATACACAATGCGTACCAAATAGCCGGTGTAGAACTATCGGATGAAGTAGTAGATCATGTCATACACAAGTCTTTAGAAAACTTGACAGTGATTAGCTGCTGCAACAATGAGCAGTTCCAACTGACTTTGCATATGCTCGAGGATGAGCTCCTCAGCAATGAAAAAATTGCTCTGTTAGCTATAGACAATATATTGGCGTACTATTGGCAGGAGAGAAGGATAAAGGGAATTCTCAGTATGGACAACTATACCAAAGACTTACTCAAAATCATTCGGATTCAAACATCTCAATTTCATATGATAACAATTTATACAAAATGGGATGGACCAGTGTCCAAGTACCAATCACATTCCAATCTGTTACAAGGAACGGGTATAAATTATAGGTTGCATCTTTACAAAAATCCTGTAACTCATGAGTTTGTATGTCATGTACAATCTACTGATGATATAAAACGGATTTGTTATACAATCTCTGATTCTGGCATAAAATGGATTCAGTGATAATTTAAATTAAAATAATGTATCAATAATTAATCGATGAGAGAAGGATCTTATCCACTATGTCTGATGGCTTTAACAGTCTTGAACCTCCTATTGTTATTTGACAATTTGAATTAAATGATGATATAATTTCTTTAGTCTCTCTTACTTCTTCTGGTGTTATACCTCCAATGACATAAATGATAATCCAATTGTTATCGCAAGGATGGTGCTTTATTCTTCCTTTGGAAAATAAACTGTCAAAGGTACAAATATCAAATTCAACAGATTTCCTTTTTAAAATTTTTCTTTAAAATAAAAATAAATATTTAAAGTATACATTTACATTTTAACTTACTTGAATCATATACATTTTAACTTACTTGAATCCAGCAGAAATAAGCGAAGGTGATCTTTGATGTAAATCAGGAAGTTCAAATCTATTTGGATGGAGCATATCTGTTAATAATTGTTGCAAAATGCCAATACGTCGAACAATTTCTTGAGAATTTGATTTAGACATTAAGGAGCTGTAAGAAATATAAATAAGTCACTGTAATTTTTATATTTTTTATATACATATTTGTGTAATCGTAAATATTTGAAAATAATGATTTAAAACATGAAATATAAAAATAAAATGAAATCATATATAGTTGATTGCACATATTATACACATGTACATATACAGAATTATAAGTCTCATAATAATTAATATATATAAAATAATGTTACATTTCACAATAATTATATGTATATAGTTTCATACGTGTAATTGTGTAGAGAGGCACGTTGCTGTGCTATTTCATGTAAGATATTCATAATATGTTTCGCCATCTTCTCAGACGTTTCCTTTGCAGTCTCAATATTTGTAACATCTAATTTAGACATATATTGCGGATATTTAATTATTTAGTAATGATTAAGTATTATCAATTTAGATGTAATTTATATTTTTAACACTAAATTTATATAAAAATAATTAAAGCTCAACAAATTAAATCATTTTTAAATTTTTTATCAAATCAAAATCAAAATTTCATATGTAATCTTGATTGCTTGATTTATTTCTATATTACATATTATTAGCATGCTTTTTTACTAACCGAAAAGTAACAATGTTTGTTGATATATTGACATTTCACTGTTCACTGTATCTTTCTTTAATTTTATGATATCTTCAAATACAGCATTGGCAATAGCTTCTTCCAACTGTTGCTCTTGTTGAAGAGAAAATTGTATTTCAGTTCCAGCAAGTGCATAAATATGCACTAAAAGTGCTAATATATTGTCTGTATTTAATCCTCTTTTTTCACGGGTTTTTATTATATTACTTAACTGAAAATAATCAAAAAATTTGTAATCTTACAAAAAATGAAAATGCAAATATTAGAAATATTAGAAATAAAAAAAATGACTATGATAATTACTTGTCCAAGCACGCTCGTAGAGTCACGACTTACAGCTATATTTTGTAAAACAAGTTTTTCGAGACTAATCAATAGTTCTATTTGGGAAGTTTTTTCTGATGTTAAGGCTTGTATAATTCCTAACACCATCTGCAATTAAATAATGTTTATACATATACATTTAACTTTTAATAACTTTTAATAAGTTATATATAACAAAATAACATCCAGAATTAATCTTCATCAAAACATATTATATAACTAAGTTTCAGATTTGGTTTTATATTTTAATATTGTATTATTTTGTCTTTTATTATTGGAATATTATTGATACATACTTGAAGTCTCTTGCTTGATTCAGATATAGCATGAAGATCATCTATGTCTTTGAATTTATTTACAAGTTTCTCTAAACTATGCGCGGAAATCCTTGTTGCTAGTTTTGGTTTCAGGTTCTCTCGTAGTTTTAAGTTTTCTTTTGTTGAAAGTATATCGATGAGCATCTTATTCGTAGTGGTCAATACTTCTTTTTGTTTTTTTGTGATTAACATATTCATTAGATTTTTATCATTGCTAGCCAAACATCCTGGTACATTGATATATTCCTTAAACTATTAAACAATTTTTATGCAATTTTCATGTAATAATATCTATATAATATACAAGTTATTATACCTGTGTGTCGCAGAACAGAGGTGACATATTTATTGCAACATCGTTACAGTGATGAGGTAAATGGGATAATGTGCACAATATTCTGGCTAACAATGATTCAGTATTATTACTAGTAGAAGTACAAAGATCTAATGTTCTGTCGACAAAGATTAAAGATACTCCTCTTTCTTTTGCACCAACTAGATTCTAATATATAAAATTGAACATTAAAATAAAACAATTTTAATACATTCTAATATGTCAATTATTCTCTTTTGACTATTTATAATGTAATGTCATTGTAATGTGAGCGAGCGTGGCATAATAAGGCAACGCACTAATCTATGCTAGAGGCCCTGGGTTCGATTCCCAGCAAAATCAAAATATTTACGCTCATCTCTTCTCGGAAGGCAATGGCAAACCAGAGAATAACTTTGCCATGAGCGTCTTTCTATCAAAAATTACTGAGATCCCATATACCTGTGTATAATCACCGTGCGTACCACAGGTATATGAGAGAGATCACCACGCTCAGATGGGGATAGAAGAGAAGGAATCATTGTAAATTATCCTTTGATAAACAAAATACTTACATTTCTACGGTCGACAGCCATTGGTAACATTTCTAATTTCTCAGCAATGAGCTCGCTAAATTTTCCCATTGAATAAATATCTTCTTTTAAATTCAAACATGTTAATAAACTATTAAATAAACTCACAAAATGATCAATTTCATATTCGGAATCTTTTAACAATGTGCTATCTAAAGGAGATAATAGATCATTAAAAGATGGTGTCACAAACAAATCATTGTCAATTAGACTAATAAAAATTGGACGAAATAGTATTGTCACCAAATAATCCTGTAAATCAATATATAATTTCAACAATATATAACATAATGATTTTGAAATTAAAATGTGACAAATCTCACTTGCGATTGTTGATTGGAATGCATCCAATTTTTTACATCTCTTTTCAATTTGGCATAATCCATTCTATCTTCTAATGGTACTGTATCATCATAATTCAATACATCTGGATGTGCAGCAGTGATAATTATATAATGATCATATGCATTTTTTTCTATTATCATTTTAATTGTACGTTGATAAAAAGCAGGATTGGTAGAAGTGGAAATAATAACTGCCTTTTTGCAATTTTGTACTTTGGCATACTGTAATGAAACAAATTATAAGTAAGAACATATATATAAATGATCATGCTTTATTAATTACATACACGAAAATTATACATAGCCAATTCGTAAACTGATACTGCACCAGCATCCTTAAAAAAGGAATATATTTTGCCACCCGTATGCCAATGAAGGCATTCTGTTGCTGCATGATCTATATAGACCGCAGATTCATTTACAAAATTAGCAATATCGCGCCAAGTGTCAGTAAGAAATTGTTCTAGGTCAATAATGTCTCCCATTGTTAATTAAAAACATAACATAAATGTATAGAAATAATTTTTCGCTTTTATTTGTACAATATGTAACAAATTATAAATTATTGTATATATTTAACACTTTTGTATAGATAACAACATAACATTATTTAATGAAATATCAATTTTACTTTAAATATATTATTTATATAATTCACATTGAGCGTCATAAAATAAATTTGATTTTCTTATATCATAGAATTTAATTTCGTAACACTTAATATTTTAATTTTATCAATTATGACAATCTTAAACTCGTCAAATAATAAACAGCTGGTTATTGGGTACCGTTGAATGTCCATACAACTTATAGCTTTTCGGTACTTCGGTTATCTGCACTATAGCTGCGATTCGATATTCACTGTCATCTATAATATATGTGACATGCATTATACATTTTTAATACTGGCAGTAAATATTGGAATACAGTCTATACTACACAAGATCCACAATGTTTTGTTACTATATATATATATTTCTGTTTAATTTTATTTAGGACCTAATTATATTGGCCTACGAGAGTAAATCTACATTTTCCCTTGTTTAAGTCTCTGGTTAATTATAGTTTTTATAATTAAAGATGGCGAAAACTTTTCGCTCCTTGTTTCAATATTGCGTTTATGTCCTATCTCTATATTCCTTATCTATAATTCCAATGTACATATTTGCCAATACTAAAAATCTATGGTATATGTAACGTAAACTATAGATTTTCAGTACTGGCAGTTTATAATGTAATGTATACATTGTGTTCATAATGTTAGAAATGATCCGAGATTTAATTATAAGGCTTAATGTAGCTTAAATTTATTATAAAATATAATATAAATATCTTTATTTAATAAAATATTTTATTTAAATAATGTTATATTTTAATGTATTTTATTGATCAAAATATTTATATATCATGTCACTTGTGTAGCATAAAAATTGATGCTAAAAATTGATCCAAGCTTTCGGACAAAGGAAAAATTGATTAATCGCAATGGCTATTTCATTTGATTAATTAATATTATTGATCAATTTTTTCTTCATTCTGTAGCATCTTGAACATAAGGCTTTATGCTTTTGATTTAATTATCTTCATGCATAGTAACTTTAGACTATAAAAAATACTAGGATTATGTTCAGAAATTCTGAATGTATATAATTTTATTCTTATTGTTAATCGAATGTTGAACAAGGATAAAATGATATCCAATAAAATGATGGTTGCATTTTGGATTTTATTTCTGAACGCACTCCTAGTAGTTTACGTTTTGCGTCTATGTCTCTTGGCCAATCAAATTATTAGCAGCTTCTTTCTGATTAGTCAACCGACAATCACGGACGAGTGCGCAGACGCAGGCGCAGACGCAATTGTCGATCGCTAGTGTGTTTCGGATATAACAATTCTATCGGGAATGGCGTCGCTCCGGTCGGCTCGGGAATTTCGCGCGGACCGCGCGTTGGTCCTATTTTAGTCGCGTGTGTGGGTGAATGAGGTGCCGCGACGCCCGTCTCCGACGCTATTTTTGTCGTCCCTGCGTCCTCGCGAGCGAGTTGCGGATCTGCTGTACATACGTGTGTGCGTGCATGCGTGCGTGCGTGCGTACGCGCGCGCGACGGAGAAGGACGAAGGTTAGTTTCGGGCCGACGAGCCCGATTCGATGTTGTCTCGCGCGCATGCCACCCCGAGAGCCAGGACGGAGTTACGGAGCGCAACGTAATGGCTCAGACGCGACGCGGGGGACACGTCGGACGCACGGCAAGACCCCCATTTTCGACGCGACCGCGAGTCGTCGCGACGACTCCCACGGTGACGTCCCGAATGCCGACGTTATGCCGTGATGTTGTCGCGCGACTATATTCAACGTTTCCCCGCCTAGATCAAAACACATGCTAATCGTAAAAAGAGCTTAGCTATTCTCTTGCATTGTCGAGCGTTCGAGCAAGCTTGACAAAGAGTGATTGAGAAAGAGAGAACGGCGCCCGCTGGAGGGGGACGATGGAGGGGGTGGGATGAAGAGAAGTTAGAAGGGAGACGGAATGGAGGAGGGGGTCTTTCGTTCCCCCCCCTCCTCCCTCTGGGGAGAACCTGCGAGGCGAACGAATGAGACCCTCGTCCCCTACGAGCGGTACCGCGGGGAACGTACGGCAGTGCGTTGGGCGGGGTAAGGGGGGAGGGAATCGTGCGCCGGCGAGCAAAAATCGTATATGTCAGACTCGTGGCAGAGGGGTCAGCGCGAGGGAAAGAACGACACGAAACCGAACCGTTTTCTGGGCTTAGCGGGTACGTTTTCACGTTGGGTCTCGCTGCGTTTCTCTCTCTCTCTCTCTCTCTTTCTCTCTCTCGTTTGACTTTTCGTTCTCTATTTCCCCTCCGAATTCCTATCCCCGTTCCCTCCGATCACCCGCGCTCGGACCCCCTTGACTCACGTCGTGTTCCTTTCTCTCTCTTTTTTTAAATCACCCCTCCCCCTCTTCAGCGTACGCGTTACTGTCACCACATCGAACATACGTACGCCGGAGGAGTTACGCATATCGATCCTCGATCGAGCGTTTCTCTCTCGGCTGCTTCGTGGAGAGCAGCGTTCGCGGTTCTCGCCGGGGTTCTCTCCTGTTTTTCCCTTCTTCCTTCTCTCTTTCTCTCTCTTTGAGCCTTCCTCCCGTTGTAACGGGGTGAGCGTTGTAACGAGTCGTGTGACATCGAGCTTTTGACGTTTGAAGGAACGTGAGATACGCACACACGAGCGAAAAGAATGAACGACATGGAGGCCTACGGGGACGGATACATGGCACCGGAGGAGGAATGGGAGAGGGAGGGTCTTCTGGACCCTGCCTGGGAGAAGCAGCAGAAAAAGGTGAGCGGGTGTTATCATAGATTTTTTTCTTTTTTTCCTTCGATTTTCTGTCGCTCTTCCTTTCGTTAAGCTTGACAGGCCGAACCTTGAGACAGGATATTCGGGCCTAGTCGAGGATCTGGGCCTTTCGTTCTCCAGATTAGATCTCGGAACTGATCTTACAATCATCGGTACATTTCTTCCCTTTATTTACGCATTTTCGTAAAAATAATTCTTAAAAACTGCTTAAAAAATAATTATTCGCGATTCTATCTTCTAATTTTGCGTAAACTAATTCACTTGTTTTTTTAATTTTTTAATTCTTAGAAGAGGGTCGATGTTAATAATCCTCGTATTATTCTCGTTTAATCCTCGTATAGATTAAGATTCGTTATTTAATTAATTAAGAAGGATAACGTTAGAGTTTCGGGAGGGAAAGATTTTTGTCTTACCGCATTTAAAGTAAATATCTAAGGACCCAGTATATACACCTGTTCTACACAAAAAAAAAAAGAGGAAACATCGGAACATTTTCTTTCTTTATCTAACGACAAGTCGCAGCTGTCTGTTGTAAAGAACAGAAAAAGATCGAATGTTTCATCTGTCGTCATCCAACATGAATGCAACTAAAATATATATATATATATATATATATATAGATAGCGCATGTCAGATTTTTTTTCTATGACATAAGAGAGAAAAAAATTCGAGTGTAGAAAACTTAATTAGAAAAATGAAGATTAAGAATGAATTGTATTCTATACTTTGATAACAGTCGCTTGCATAGAGAAATGATTTTCGGTTTCAGTTATCAGTTCCTTTAGATTACGCTAATCTTATCGGATATTAAACAATTAAGATGTTTCATCATTTTTAAAGATTTATTTTATAATAGATTTGGTAGAATTTGTAACTACAAACATGTCGATAATATCTATAAATATGAAATAAAATAAATTTAATAATAATAATAATATAAATTTAATAATAATAATAATATAAAATAAATTTGTTTTATAGTTTTCTCTTTTGTTAATAAATTTTGTTTTTATTGAAAGAATAATTTTTAAAGATAAATTGAATAATCACTATATATATAATTTATAATGTGATGGAATCAAATTATAAAATACAAGAATTGAAGAGCAAAATCTACACATTTAATATTTCAATTATGTGTAAACCTAACTTATCTATACATTATAGTAATTATACATTTTGTAAATATAGTTATATTATATAATTTTCTAAATTTAATTTAATCACAGCTAATGTGTGATATTTTACATTGCTCTTTATATTTTACACTTGAGAAATTATTTTCAAGAAAAGTTAAAAGTCTGTTCAAATAATCTTCTTTTGTTATCGCAATGTAATATTATCCCAGTCGAAAACATTTCAAAAACTACTCAGTCAAAACCAGTCATTTGGCGATAAGTCGCTTTTTCATAATCTTTTCTCTCTGATTACGAGTAAACTTTTCACAGAGGAGTATCTTTTTAAAGAGTTTCTCGCTTGCAATTTTTGTTTCGTACATTTGACGTAACCATTAGATACTAATAAATTGGAACATCCTCGAGTATGCGTTTGCAAATGTTTTCTTCATTTTTGGCAGGAGCTCAAGGCTCTCTTGGGAGCCCCCGCCTCTTCTCGCATACATCGGCCGCAGCCCTTCGGATTGTATTTTCAGACTTTATGACAAAAATAATCAAGAGCGCAATGAGTCACGCCCGTGATTTTCACGATGACTCGTAGCCGTTCCCCTTCGCGCTGTCGAAGCCGTTTCCTTCTCCTCGTTATCTCCCTTTTTTTTTTTTTTTTTTCTCCAATCCGGTCCGATGTGCTCACCGAGGTACGCGCCGGGTCGCGTTGAGCGACGTCGCGACGCGTACTCAAGTCAGGCATTAGATAAGTCGACGCTGATAATGGTTACGTCGCGCCCGCCAATAAAACGTAACGCCGCGCGTCTCCTGAGAGGATCGAGCTCGCGGCTCGGCGTCGCGCCGCACCGGCAGCAAGCATTTTTCGTAACGCCTCTAATTTTAGAGATCCGCGTGCCCCGTTCCGGAAACGCGCGCGGCCCGAAAACCCGCATTTACCCGACGCCGAGACTCACGTCGGCGTCGCCGCGAGAGAGAATTCATTCCGTTCGTCGAACCGCACGGGACGTATCGAACGCCTGTCGCTTCGCGGAAAAAGCTCACGCAAAGTTTCCGCGTTGCGGATAACGAATGCCGGCACGGCGATTCCGCGAAGCGGAACTCGAGGCGGAAGGAAGGAAGCGTAAAAGCGAAGCTATATTCTTTATTTTGTCCGCTTATTTTGTTCCTTTCACTTTTTTATTAGATTCATGATCGGTTCGAATTAATGAGAGAGAACGAAATTAATAAGAGATTCAGGGAGGGGGGGGGGGGAAGGATTGAAAAATAAATTAAAAAATTCAAGCCACTCTTAGGAAAAACTTTCTCCCTCGTTTGTAGAAACATTAAGTATTATTTATTGATCCTTTTGTCGTCGACTTGTAAACGATAACACCGAGGTAACATTTGGTTCTGCGAGTTTATATCAGTTAATTATGCACATTCGTTATTATTAAATAAAATTGATCAAAAGCATGTCAAAATAAATATTAAGATAATAATTATTTATTTTTATTTTATCTAAAATAAGAGTAAATTTTATTCCTTATTTTTTGCTAAAGTGCATTATTCCGTTAATTCTATTTCAAGTTTTCAATCATAAAAGTATTTAAAGTATGTTCGATATGTAAAAAAATAAAAAAAAATCATTATACACGATAATGATTGTCAGAAAATTCTTGTTCAGACTCGACCAACAACTGTAAGAATTTTAAGGCAGTTCTGCTCACGTTCTCCCCTTATCTCGAGTATCTCTGTACATTTACCTAGACGTTTACTTTATACTCTACGCGATGTGTGAGAAAATTGAGAAACTCGACGCTCGGTTGGTGGTATTCGAGTTACATTCGTCTGGGCCTAGCTCGTGTGGAATTGATAGAGTATGACAGGGCGTGCCAATTAACAGTTACCGGTTAAATGCGCTAACAGGCAGGAGGAAGCGGACGTTATGTGACACGCGCCGGCCGATTAACTGTACAGGAGAATTTCTCGCTAAAATCACCGGTCGTCACGTTGTCAGAGAGAGCCTCCGAGTGCGTCGGCCGCGCACGAAACATTCTTGCGATAGGAATTTTTTTCCTCCGACGTCGGACGTTTAAATAGGTCGCGGTTGCTCGTGGAAACAGCTGCTCGCCGAGCTTTCGAGATTGCGCGGCTCTCGGAGATCTATTCGGATGTTGGTATTCGGGACTTATCTCGTTCTCTTCGCGCCCTTGCCCTTCCAAAATTTCATTCTGCATCTAAAATATTCGATATCGAAATTATTTATCTTTCGGGCTATTATCTTTTGTCCAATTAAATAATTAACACTGTTGTTTCTGAAATTTAAATTTATAAAATAGCATTTATATTATAATTTTAATAATAATTTTCTTTCGAGTATCTTCCGAGATTCAATTTAAATTATTACTTTAAATTAGATAAATTCTTCAATTTTATATTATGTTATTATATTATTGTTATGTTTTATACGGTTAATTACTGAATTATAATTTAATTTTATATTTGATGTTTGATATAAAGAAAAAAAAATATTCTCAACTTGTTCTTTGAGATGATCGTAAATAGAAGAATGACTGGATTTTGTATTTATATTTGATAGTAAGAAGTGTTTAGTGATGATTATTTCATACTGTAATTTCCTCATGGTTATTTTATAGGGTAAATATTTGTTTTGTTATTGCTCATAGAATCTCATAGATAAAACGTATCAGTCGTCATGATTTTGTTTGTTATCGATGTGTAGTCGTTTGCTTGATCGATCATGCGTAGTATTATTTCTTATATATTTCTAGTATAAACCCCCAATATACGTCTTTGATTGTTACCGCAAGGTTCACTTCGTGCACATTTAATAACTTAACCAATTCCAAGAGCATAAATCTTTTTATGAGCAATCGTCTCAGTTTACAAAGGTCATCTTTTTTATAATACATTCACATTCCAACGTCACACATCTGAACGATGCTTATTGAAGATTCTTCACAGATTCACCATGATGCCTTTATTATCAATGTCAATTAAGAATTATAGTTAAAGATTATAGTCACAGACCTGTTTGTTTTTTTTCCCTAAATTTATGAGTTTTTTATTTTTTTTAATTAAAAAAAATTTTTTTTTATTAACATTGAATTTGAACATATTAACTTTTTTTTTTAAATTATCATTATATTTTAGTTTTTTTCTAAATCGAGATAAAATTATGTTTTTTTTTTTTTTGTTAGTTTTGTGCGCGTATGCTCTTTGTTCTCTCTTTGGAAACTTTGGAAAATGGGATTGCTCGGAGTAATCTTGATGAATATGATATCTCGCACAATATTTGCCTTAATAAAATTAATATTAGCTTAACGAGACTATTCGTTTTCTATTTCGATCGCAATTATTTCGATTTATCGTGGGATTAACTCCGCGCAGGCGGAGTTATCCCACGCGTACTGTATAATTAGAAATCGCCAATTAATTCCGCATGTATCGATGTACGCTCATCCGTTGTCGCTTCGAGATTAATTCCGTGCCGTCGACCTCGCTGCAGCGTCGCGATCATCATCTGGCCTCACCAGACAAATTCGAACGGTTAAGCCGGGTAACGGACATTAACTAACGGCTTGCACCAAGATGCATCTTCGGCAATTACAAATAATCTCCCGCGCAAGTGTGTCATCTTTCTCATTATGTTTATCTGCTTAATTAACGCCGTTGTCGAAGGTAAGTGCTGCTGGCTAACGACAAAAAAAAAACGATCGAAAAATTGAGTTCTTAATAGCGAGATTTATTAGATCTTAATCTTAATTAACAAATTCACTTCTATACGTTATAAATAAAAGCATACTGATGATTATTTTTATGACTAATGTTATTTTTATGATATTTTTAATTTTGAAG